GACAGCTGATGGTAGACAAAATTAGTCTTTTCTTAAGGTAATTTTTCTGTTTGTGTATTTTTTCATTTTGAAATTGTAACCATGTAGTGTTAAAATTAGATATTGAGACATTACAGCTTAAATATAAGTGATCTTTTCAAATATACTTTAATTAGGAAAAACAGATGATGCAAAAGCTTCAGAAAAAGTGAAAACTCCTCTGAAAGGAGCCTCCATTCAGCGCTCTCCATCGGATGCAGGAAAAAGTAGTGGTGATGAAGGAAAAAAGCCTCCCTCTGGCATTGGGAGGTCAACAGCTACAGGATCCTTTGGATTCAAGAAGTCTGGGATGGGATCTTCTACCATAATTACCACAAGCGGAGCAACTATCACAAGCGGGTCAGCAACTCTAGGAAAAATGCCAAAATCTTCAGCCATCAGCGGGAAGTCCAATGCAGGGCGAAAAACAAGCTTGGACGGTTCTCAGAACCAGGATGATGCTGTCTTGCACATGAACTCGAAGACGACTCTGCAGTATCGAAGTTTGCCTCGCCCATCAAAATCCAGTGGCAGTGGGATCCCAGGCAGGGGTGGCCACCGCTCCAGCACCAGCAGCATCGACTCCAATGTTAGCAGCAAGTCTGCAGGTGCTGCTGCCACCAAACTGCGAGAGCCAAGCAAGATTGGCTCCGGGAGGTCCAGCCCCGTCACCATCAACCAGACGGACAAGGAAAAAGAGAAAGTGGCTGTATCCGATTCTGAGAGCGTCTCGTTGTCCAGTTCCCCCAAATCCAGCCCAACTTCGGCGAGTGCCTCTGGAACGCCGGGACTTAGGCAACCAGGATCCAAATACCCAGATATCGCCTCACCCACCTTTCGCAGGTTAGTGCTTTTCCATTAATTCCTGATGTTGCAGTATATAAAGCAGGGTTTTTCAGTGTGCTGAAGCACTGAGCAAAAAGCCTTTTCAGGGCATATTTCACCACAAACGGAGAACCAAGTTAAAAAAAAATAAATAAAAGGGCAATATTTTTTCACACAATGTGATTATTTCTCTAAGGCCTAAAGACCTCCACAGACATGAAATGGATGTTCCTTGAGCTTTGAGCATTGTAGGCACATTCTCGTAACAACGGTTTGAAGGCTAGAATCAGTTGGACTCAATGATCCTATGGGTCCCTTCCAACTCGAGATATTCTATGCTTCTAAGTTCTTATTGAATATCCAGGCACATGAGAAGCTCCCTCTCAATACTCTGATAAACACCCAAAGGGAAGAAGGACACTATGTTCAGGCACATTCTGTTACTGGAACAGGCAATACCATAGCCTTGTTGGAGAACTGAAGAGCTCTATAGATAAATAACGCATTTGCTTTCACGTTGTTGGCAGGTCCAGCTACAAACGTTTCATTATCTTAGAATTTTCTACATCTTTCATCCCCCTCCCTCAAAAAAAGCAGATAAATTTCAATTGGAAATACATTTCAATTGGAAATGCCCTACTGTAATGTTTCTGGAAGTATAAATCCGGGTGGTGTTTGCGCTGTTGGAGAATAAGCCAATAGTGCCCTCTTGCGTCCAGTTACCCAAACAGCATCTCCAGGCTGCTGGGGAGCGGCAGCTGGTTTTTGTGGGCTTGGTAATATGTAAAATGGATTCTTACGTTATTAGATATGCTTACTTTATATCACGATAATTTTTGCATTTATTTCTTATTAATTTATGAGCTTCAATTTATCTGGAATTTAAAATATTTCCAGCAAGGCGTTAAGTCATCACACGACCTTTTATTTCAACAGTGTTAGAGGATTTGGGTTTTGGTTTTTTTTTCTCATCATCACTGTAGAATTTTCTTCTATAGAATTGCTGGAAGCAATTATGTGAAATACATCTCTGTCATGACTGCCCTTGGAGCCCATCTATCTCCAGTGCAGTTTATTCTATCTGAATGGTTACTACATGACCGATGACCTCATGGTCATCTATGCAAAAGAACAAGAGGGAAATTTTACACAAATACTTAGATTGTTATTAAACTATAAAGGATTTTACAAGTGTTTGTTGCAATCACTTTAGCTGATTTGAGAAGCAAGGAGTTCAAAAGCTAATGACTTAGCCATGGGAATGCCTAATTACTGAATTTGGGTGAAAGTATAATCTGTTTATGCACTAATAAGACAAAAATGTGATTATTTTACCTCTCTCTGGGAGGATCTGTGTGTTACAAGAGCACATCGGAACAGGAGTGAATGAGAACTGTTGCTAATGAAACAAACCCTGATTATTGTGATATGGTTAAGCGAATTTAATTTTGTGATGCGATTGATCAACTAGGTAGGCATGTTTTTAGTAGTGGTAATTAAAAATGTGTAGTTTGGCTCTTAGGATGTTACGCCATGAATGTTTAATGTGGCTATCAGTTTCTCTAAAGCTATTTGTTTTACATTTAGGTTGTTTGGTGCCAAGGCAAGTGGTAAAGCTGCCTCTGCACCCAGTACTGAAGGTGTGAAACCCACAACGGCAATGCCCAGCCCTAGTACCACATTGGCACGGCAAGGCAGCCTGGAATCGCCATCCTCGGGCACAGGCAGCATGGGCAGTGCAGGTGGGCAAAGTGGTAGCAGCAGCCCCCTCTTCAGTAAACCTTCGGACTTAAATGCAGATGTTGTAAGCTTAAGTCATTCCTTGGCTTCCAGTCCCGCCTCAGTGCACTCTTTCACATCAGGTGGTCTTGTGTGGGCTGCAAACCTGAGCAGCTCTTCAGCGGGCAGTAAGGACACACCAAGTTACCAGTCCATGACTAGCCTTCACACCAGTTCCGAGTCTATTGACCTTCCTCTTAGCCATCATGGCTCTCTCTCTGGACTGACAACAAGCACTCAGGAGGTTCAGAGCCTGCTCATGAGGACTGGAAGCGTCAGATCTACTCTTTCGGAAAGGTGAGCTTGCCTATAGATACAGTGACCACAAAACCAGCGAGAGGCAAAAGGACAGGAGCCAAAAAAATAAGCCCTGCACCTGTTTGCCTAAAGGGACACTGATTAGCAGCTTAGTCATTTTTGTAAAAAGGGAAGGAAGGAAGAAAAGAAAGCTGAATGTGGAATCAACTGCCTTTTAAGGTTTTATACGCATTTTTTTCTATCTTCAGAAGTTTTTTTTGGTTCCCTTGTTGTGGAGAACAACCAGAGAAAAGGGGAAAATTGTCTAATTAAAGGCAAATCTAAACAGCCACATAATGATTCCTGCATGCTGGATCTACCTGCTGCCCCAGCAACTGGCAGCTCCAAAGCTGTGTCACTGCTCTCTTGCTAACAAGTCTTCTCCAGCAGTAAGACTCCACCAGTTTTCTTCCGATTAGCTCAAAGCACAGGAAGAGTTGGTGGGCGCCTGCCTTCCACTGACCAGTCTTGCCTTAAAATGCCTGGTCCTGACAAGTTGCTTCTTATACACTAATAATTACACAGATCCTTACTAAAATGCAGTTTCACTGGTAGGAAGACAGTTTATAAGATGAGACTCACTACATGCACAGTCCTGCTGAGTGTCTGGAACAGGCAAACAAAAGCAAGAAATAATTTTCCTCTACTTGCTCTTTTTAACGTGTAGGTATTTTACCACTTATTTTATACTAGGACGTGGTGCATTCACCCTGGCACACTTGTACCACCATTATTTAAAAAAAAAATTGTGTGTGTGAAATATTTATTTGACTTTTGCAAGAGAGAAAAAATAAACTTTGTTGGGCAGTAGGTAATTTTCACTTCCTTTGAAAATTTTCAAGATTTGACAATGAAACTGTTATCTCACATGGGGCTTGAAAAGTCAATATTAAATATTTCATTAGCCTTTGATCCAAAAAAGAAAATTATACTGATTCAGTTAGACATATTTTAACCATTTTAAGGTTGAACTTCAATGTTTAACAACACAATCATTGAAAGGAAAGAAGATCAATGTTAAGATTCTTTTTTCCCTTTATATAGACACAGAGATTTTTCAATACCAAACCTTTCCATGGAAAGGTTTTGCTTTCAGTGAAACAGCATTAAAAAAAAACAAAAACAAAAAAACACAAACAAAACCAACCCCCCCCCAAAATCTTTGCCAAATCTAGATAGAAACTCTCTGCAGATTTCGTTCTATTATGTTGCTTTCGTAAGTATTACTATATCAACTGAAATCACACCTCTTACTAATTACAACACTATAAAACATGTGTGTACCACTATAACGTATGCTAACAACAGTAGTTAAAAATATGCTGATACATGAGTAATTTGTAATTTGCACTGTGCTTTTAATTTTTAAGTAGTAACTTACATTCTGTGACATGAACTGAATGTGATGATATTTCTTAGAAAGTTAATTGTTAATAATTAGCTTATTTAAACCTTCACTAATTTTTAGTGCTATATATATGAATGGTGAGGTCAATAGAATGATGTGGAAGAGTATGAATTTATGCCAAAGATCATATTTATACAGAGGATGTTAAACATCACATTTAAAATGTTAATGGTTTGGCATAAGCTCCTGAGCAACTGCCACTACTAATACCTTATGTATTTGTCCAGTGATTTAATTTCAGTGGTTCCAAATACCTTGCCTTTGGCAATATTTTTAAGTTTCAGATTTGTCCATATGGGGATATTACGATTGAGTCCAGAGAGAGGCATTTATCATGTTGATCTGGCCTCAAAACAAATATATGTACCTAGAGAAAATGGTGTAATTTCTTGAATTATAGCCCCAATAGGGTTTTTGCAGTTTGATTTTTCTAAAAGGTCTGTTACAAGTGCTGTATTATTTCTAAACTGTTTTATACAGTAAAACCTACACATAGCAAAGTATTTTTTTCACAACAAAGCACTGATTTAAAATGTTAGAGACCGATACATTTGGCAACAGATTATGTCTTTTTTTCCCCTTTGTAAACTCAGGTTATATTTGAGATTTCTCTGGCAATACTAGTTGTAATCTGGCATGGCATGAGAAATTATCTGCAAAAAGAGGCTTTTTCTCCAGATCTTGCAAAAGACTGAATGAGCAGTCTGTATAGTACGATGAACTAATACAATGTAGAGACAAAATCAGAAAGACTGAAGCACAAAATGAGATACAAATAGCAAGCAACATAAAGCCTATGCAGAGAAAGCCAGAGGAAAACTAAAAAAGAGGAGAGAGCTAATAATAGGTGATACAAATAATATGGTTTTGCTTCATTGAAGCATCAACTGCAATTTGATAGCTAAGCATCACTAATTGCGAGCATGCTAAATGGGAATGAAAGGTTAAAGATTGCTCCAGTGTGCTCATCCAGACAAACTTTTCACTTCCCTGTTTCAGACATAGTCTGAAGTAGCTCTACAGCTTTTAGGACTGAAGAAGAGGTTTCAAAGGGTCTGTGCTGAGGAAGGAGTGAGGAAGAGGGCTGGGATGGAAGACAGGGGGATTAGGAACAAGGCCACCTTGCTTCCTTTCCTGGCAAGATACAGGGGATATTAAACAAAATGGGTTCAGTAACATATAAGATGAGATTTATCATTAACAGCCTTTTAAATAAGACTAGTTTAATTCATTTGCAGGAAAATGGATTCTGTGAGTAGCGAAAAGGAACTAGATACAATAAGAAATCCTGAAATTTGTAAAGCTTTAGGTGCTGTTTCAGAGTACATTCTCACAAGCAAATGAAGGAAATAAAGTAAGGTACTTGACTGGTTGGTAAAGAGTTATCAAAGACTAGTGATCAATTGTTTAGTAGCCTGAAAGGAATATAACAGAGTGGGATATATATGCACAAATATCAAATGGAAAATGATGAGGCTATTTTCCAGAAAGTAGGCAGTGTCTACGGGGTAGTTGTGCCATTGCTGGGACAAAGCATTTTCCCAGTTATTTTGAAAATTAAAAGTATCACTTTTAAGTCTTAGAAAGTAATCACATTCTAGTTTTTCATGTTAGGGCTTTAACTTGAAGACTCTGGGACTTCAAGTTTTAAGAAAGATTTGGTGCAACTGGAAAGAACCCAGATAATGAGACCAAAATCTCAGGGTACATCTATGTTTCCTACTGAAGAGAGTAGCCCATGGCTGCCTCCAAAAAAGCATCCACTTGCCATGGAGACAGAAAGTCTGCAAAGTCTCTGCCACATGTGCCCACTCATACCCAGCACATCTCAGTCTCTCCAGCGATGATCAGACATTGCCCACACTTAGCTTTCAGGCTATCAGATTCTATGAGATTATTTTGCATTGGAATAACCAGAAAATGGGTTCAGTAAATGCTGGCAAAATATTTGCTTTTTCAGCAAAATTTGCATCTCCCTCAGGACTTTTGCTGGTTTTGTGCTAGTGGTATTTATTTAGACAAGTCTACTTCTGTTGTTATAGCAGTGTAACTCCCTATGTGGAAGGGCAATTGTATTTTAGCTTACAACAATTTAGAGGAATTAAGATAAATCATACAGTTACTTATACTCTAAAATAAAACCGTCTACTGGGGTTGACTGGTGAAATATTACTGCTTTAACTGATAAAATTTTCCAGGTTGACACATATTCACCAATAGTTGTTTTGAACCCTTAATTGCTGTTGGGCACTGCAGATTTGTGTCTTTCTTCTGCTTGGTCCAAGTGACACAGCAAGGAATGCATAAAAAATGCAGAAATATAGGAATTAACAATAGTTCTCATCAGCAATAATGGCTGCATTTTAAGATTAACAGAGTGGAAGTAGTTTCTAATTATGTGACTGACTTGCTCTGGTTTACTTTAAAAGTATGTTTAGTTTTGAGGGCCATGAAAGTGCATTGAAATGCACTTAAGCTCTTCAAACTTTCAGTTGTTTTAAATTGTCATCCTACTTGATGGTTGCGGTTTAAAGGCGTGAAACAGTGCATCATGTATCAGATTTTCCTGTGTGCTCAGTCATTTGTTGGAACTCATTTCTAAGTCTCGTTATCAGCTTGGCTCAGCCTGCTCTAGACCTCCATGGGTGTTTCTTAGCTTGCAATTTGTTTTATTCCTTAATAGAGCTGCCACAGTTAGATATAGCTGAAAGATATGGCATTATGACCCTTTCCCAAGTTAGCCTTAACTCCAAGGGCAGGTAGGAAACTGAGAACTGTAAGGCTTCCTGTAATTTACCCCAGAGAACTTGCAGACGGTTTCATCAGTACAAAATAAACAAAAGAGAATGGAGATATGGTGGGCTTGATAACTTCAGCCTACATCTGCATTCACCTTCCTGCGAGACTGCTTTTGGGGTCAGGCTGGTAGGGTCCTAATGGGCCACGTTAAAACCACAATATGGGAACAGTGCACATTACAGTTCAGTTCTATTTACCAAAAAGGCTAGCTTCTGTAGAAGTAACATACCCAGCTTCTTGGTGGAGGAATGTTTTCAGATACTAAAAAGATATGGGCAGTTATATGTCTGAATTAATAGTTACATAGAACGATGGTTAACAGTTTAATGCAATTATCTGAATACTATGAACATCTTTGCAAGATTCAGTGTTTTAAAAAAGCAAAATGAATGTTTGCTACATTCACTTTTATGCAGTTGCAATAACTCCATGATCATGTTGAGGAATATTCATCCCTAATTCATTTGGGTACCTGAATTCAAAAGTTTTTTGCAAAATCCTATGGTCGCTACTAGCCTGTTTACCTGACTGACGTAACTTTTGGCTTGTGAATTACTTTAAAGGAGCACTGATTGTCTCCTTTATTTTTAGATAATATGCTGTAGATGAGTTTAAATACATAGAACTTAATACTACAAAAAGTATTGCTCATTAACATGTTACATATATGTAGAAGAAAGACTTTGTTATTATGATCATGTTTATTTGTTTTGAAATTTAGAGGTGCATGAAGGAACATCAGGGCACCATTCTTCTCTGTAAGAAATTAAGTGAATCATGTATTCAAGTATATGTTCTCTTTTTATCCATCATTCCTGGTCCTGTTAGTTATGTTGTGAGCAGAATGCTGAAAATTTAGTCCTCTGTCTGATAGAGGACTGATCTCACATGGACCATGATAGCTGAGCCTGTGCTGAAATCCTGCTAAGTTTCTCCTTCCATTTGACTTCTCCCCATGCAGAACAAGGCCCTGATTAAAATAGTAAAATTGCCTATAAAACTTCCTGGTGGTAAGAGTGGTTTACTTCCATTAGGCTGAGCCCTAATGGTAATGCATTGTTAGCCAACAGTATTTTCACTGCCTTCACCTATTTGGATCAAGGTTACATGACAGTGGGGTTTCCAGCACCCCTGACACAATAGGAAACAACCTTTAATAATGGTGTGAGAATTTTCTTGAGTAGGAAGAGTCCTAAGTTACTGTTGTTCTCAGAGGTGTGATTATGATATGTAATACAGAAACTTTCTAAAACAATTTAATCCGTATGACAACACTAAATTATGTTCTTAAGGAAAACAAACAAAAAAAACCCCAAACAAAACAACAAACAAAAAACATTGCAACACTTACTTGATGATAACTAGTTCAAATTCAGCCCCCACTAGTTGGGGACCAATCTACCAAGTCTTTATGAGGAAATGTGCAAATGACACTTGATTTGAAGGAAGGCTAGTGAGTGCCCTTCTAGTGATGGGGTTTGAATTAGGAAATCTCTAGCCATAAATCTCTGTTGATCAGCCACTCTGCCACTGTGTGTGTGTGAATATGGAACAACATTGCTCAGGTGTCACTTTTTGTTATTCCCATCATCACCTTACTATGCGAGCCCCACAGCAACATAAAGCCAAGGGTCTGCATATTTAGCACATATTTCTACAAGCAAAGCTGTCATTTGGCTTCTGGCAAGGCCATGCTGTCTCCTAGCAGGTGCCACAACCTTCATTTCTTTCACAAATCTATTGGCATATCGTAGGCAACTGTGAAAAATAAAGATTCATACTGTGACCATATGATTCTTGCACAGATTGCAGGGTGAAGCTGTAGGAAGGTTAGAAATGGAAAGGAAGGACTTCTTTCTTACTTGGACAGTCTCCAAATTACTATTGACCCAGCCCAGAGCATGTCTAGATGAAAAATGAATGTGCAGCAGTTCATGTCCTATTGTCCCCTCCAGTGAGTCAGGGATTTATCACAAAAGATATATTAAAAAGCATTAAATGACCTTCTGTTATGCACACATATCTAGACCTTTAAAATTTGTAATTCTGAACAGTCTTGTTTACTGTATGTCCTTAGGGATTTTTTTTTTGTTTTAACAGCATGCAGCTTGACAGAAATACACTGCCCAAAAAGGGATTAAGGTATATATATTTTTTGAGCATGACTGCTGCTTCTCTGTTTTCCTGTAACCTTTTCTACACTCTCCTTTTCTTTCACCTTTTGTTGATTTTGTTTACAACAGAGTTCTTGGTATTTAGATTAAAACCAAAACCCATGTATTTTAACAATTGAATTTTCTTCCCAAGTCTGCCTAGTGAATAAATTTCCTTTCAAGATATCTCATGGGAAGTGAGTACTATTAAGGATAGTTTCCTTATGCAATAAATCTTAAAAGGCATTGAATCCTGAAGAGCTAAAAGAGACAGAACAAGGCACTTTTGCAATTCAACGGGACTAATTGTTGAAAATATTATTGAGAAAAATAAGGGTTTAGAGGTGGATTTGAATTTGAACTCTAAATGCAAATATTCATGCAATTCGAATTGAAGATCTAGTAAAAGGTAAGGCTAGAAAATGCTTATTTTAATGTCCAAGGTTTATAAGTATAAAATGAGCCCTGCTCTAACTAGTCTTATTGGTCCCTACCCAGCAATGCTCAGAGTCCAGCTTTGCTGCTAATTCCCCACTAATTAGAGCTACCTTCGTCATAGAAAACAGAAGTCATCCACCTTCTTCTCCACTCCATGGTTAAAAGAGGGGATTGTTAGGTAACTTGTCTGGTCTCATCAGGCATGGCAGCCTACCTCCCTAATCTAAGAAAGAGATTGGGCAAGCAAGGGTGTTGTATGTGCATGCACACCGACACTCTGCAGCCTTCCAGTCACTGAAATTACACAGTTAAATCTCTTAAGTTATTGATAAATAATATTTTATGAAATTTTAAGATAGTGCTAAATAGCACCTTCTGCTCTTCTGCGCTATTTATTCCTTAAAAAGAATTTAATCAAATTTCCTGTTACCCCAAAACAATTACTTTGGATTGGGAGAGAATGGAAAAGGTGGAAGACATGAATGAGGCATAAAGGGGACCCTGCAAGGGTACAAGTATGACTGAGGTTTGTGGCTGTACGATTGTAATGCTAGCTGAAAGCTGGAAGTGAAATGGAGTGGGAAAACAGCTTTATAAGCATTTAAGCCTGATCAGTTATTACAGAAAGACCATTAGTTTGATTTAATGTGCAACAATCTCAGTCCAAGACCCAGATCCTGAATTACCATTTTGTCATCTTTCTGATCTGATAACCACTGGGTAACCCTGCTCTACCACATTTATAGGCAAAGCTCATAGCTTTCTTTTTGAAAGGAGAAAGGAAGTAAATATTTAATCAGCACAAGATGTTTTAGTGACTTAAAATATTGTACAAAACCTCAAGCACAACATGAGAACTTACATGTTCATTTACTCTGCTTTCTAAGCAGAAATATTTGTGCCTTGCAAGCCTGAAGCCAGAGTATCAAACACCCTTTCTGATCTGCTGTTTGGGAAACACTGATGGCTCATGGCAGTAGTGAAGAAGGCACTCATTTCTCAGCAGCAGATTGTGCTGAATGAAGCAGGCTATTGCAGACTTTGCTGAAAACAATCTCTTGGTTAAGACCCATGCTGCCTGCATATTTTAATATTTAACCCCTGCCAGAATTACCCTTTTTCCAGCCCGGCCAAAAGAGGCTAGGTCAGTGAGTTACTTGTTCTCACTCTTAGCCCATGTGTCAAGTTGTTTTATTGGTTTACCATAGGAAGTAGCTGACGAATGATTTGATTGCCAGACTTCTTCCTTCTAGAGAACTCTTGTTTCTGCTAATTGTGGATTTTTTCTGTCCCTTTCCCTTGCCCCAGTTGGGGCAGGACACAATTCCAAGTAGCATTCAGAGCAACAGACCATGTGTGTAACCATGAGTAGCTGTCATTACTAATGGAAACACCTTTTTCAGAGTTGATATGTTCCACTCCTATCATCTAGCCAGTTGTCCACATGGTCTGTGGCAGATGTCATTTTCTAAGCAGTTGCTCACATTTCTTGGCTTCTAGTCTGTCCATTCCCCATTCTAGCCATACAGCTTCCAAGCTTTTGCATCAACCTGTATACTTCCTATAGCTTTGAAGTCTTTTCTTGCCAGATCAGTTGTCCTTCTTCTATAGTTTGTCATCATATCTCTTCAAAGGAAGGGAATGCTGTTTTGGGGAGGGGGATGAAGAGGAAAGGGGTCTCAAGTCCTGTATTTTTTCTGCTGTTATAAGATGGTAACTTTTATCTTTTTAAAATCCCTAGTGATAATCACTTGACTAGACTTGATGCTTTCCAAGGGTTTTGTTCTGTCTGACTAGTGAAGGGTATTTATGTGACACCTGTTTGTCTCCAAACCATGAACTTGTCATTGTTTTGAGCATGTCAGCTGTGGTTTTTCAGATATACTCCATCATCCCGGCAGACGAGTCAGGAGGAAGGCAAGGAATGGCTACGCTCCCATTCAACTGGAGGCTTGCAAGACACTGGCAGTCAGTCCCCACTTGTTTCTCCTTCAGCTATGTCTTCATCTGCAACTGGAAAATATCACTTTTCCAACCTGGGTAAATGTCATTTCCCTTCACTGTTTCTCCCACTCTAGAATAGAATCATAAATTCAACGGTTCATATTTCTCAGTTTGCCAAAGTAGATAGTTTATTTTAACATATCCATCACCATATTGTGGTACCTCACTAATGAAGGAAAACTCATAATGTTTCTCCTGGAGTAGGCCAGGGTATCTCCTATTTTGCATACAAAAAAAAGCACAGGTTTTCTATGACTTGCTCAAGAAGAAGAAAATCTGAGGTAGAGCTGGAAATTAGCTTCTAGTTCAAAGCTACTCATCTTTCAGGATTCAGTCAGTAGGATTCTTTTCAGTGAATTTAGTGAATGTCAACCTAGACACTAATAATTGTTTTTCCCTATATACCAATTTGCTTTTAGATAGGCATTTCCAATGCGTTTCAGTGGCTGGACCTGGCTATTACTGCAGTGGGCCCAATCCAAATCCTATCCTTAAATGCAGTATAATATTTTAGCAAGTGAGTCACATTTCAGATTTATTTGATCACAGGTCAAGAGTTAAATTTGGTTCCTCTGGGTCTTGTTTGAAGTTAATCCAACACAAATTTAGTTTTGTTTAATGTTTATTTTTTGTTTAATGCTTAAGAGAAAATCATTTATTTACACTGATCTGGACACATACCTAGGTTCACAATGAGCTTTTTAGGCCCTTATAGTGGAATTAGCAGCAACCTTTGAGACATTCACACTTCCATCACTCTGTTACAGCTTATGGCATCTGTCACTCAAAAGAATGACTCAAAAGAAATTTGATCAGACATACAAATGCTGGTCTTTAATACATATGGGAAAAGAAGTTGAACAAAGCCACTTTTAAAAATGAAATTGGATCCTGGCTAAGCAAGCCACTGCTTTGGATTTCCTCCATATACTTGCAGCTCCATATACTATGTAGCTTTACACATAGTTGTCTTTAAGCAATGTTTTTCTTACAGTGTCATTTTCTGCTTACAATTTTCTCCTCTTTCTTATTCTTCATAGTTCTTGTTCTCACAACTGAGAGCAGTAAGATCAGGGGGGGGGTTAAAATTAATTTTGTCATTGTCCTTTGTCCTTTCCAATATCATAGCCCTGTGGAATAATTTGCTCACACAACACAGCTGCTCTGGTAGTTTATGACTTAAGGCACATCTTGCATGGTCTAGAATAAAAGTCCAAACACTAACACTGAGTTTAGATAGACAGTTAGCTTTCTCTTCTAGGCATTGATTTCATGTTGTTCACGTGAACCATAACCAGGCCTTCCTTCCTAATAGCACACAAACTTTACAAAAGCTTAAAGTAGGTTCATCAATGCTGTTCTGGATTTCAACTATGAGTGATTGGACCACTCCTGTTTATTAGTATGAGATTCAACTAGCCTGCATAGGAACTTTAACCTGATATAGTGGTAGGTGCTGTAGAAAATCAAAGGATAAATATGTCTTGCATATGCCAATAAATTTGGGTCTTAACAGCAGATGGTAATACAGGTATATAACAATAGAATACAGATACTGATTTATTAGAAGAGTGGCTTATAAAAAATACTTACAACTTCTTATTCCTTTTAACTTTCAACTTTTGATCTCTCCCATTGATTTTCTGTCTTGGGCTTTCAAAGTGAACAAGTGTATATTCAGACACCAGTGTTAGTGTTACCATGTGTTTTACAGAATTAGTATCATCAAGCTCCAGCTCCTTGGAGATCATCTGCTTCACCTTTTTGCCATGACTTTGTATGTAGGAATAAAAGCCTTTCATTTTCTCAACAGCATAAAGTCCACCTAACCATGCTAGTCCTACATTACAGTTTTGTGCAGAACCAAAATTCATTTAATGGAAATGTGCTTCATTAATAAAGCTTTGTATTCCAGTGAGTCCAACCAACCTATCTCAGTTTAACCTTCCTGGACCCAGTATGATGCGTTCAAACAGCATCCCTGCACAAGACACTTCTTTTGATCTGTATGATGACTCCCAGCTGTGTGGCAGTGCTACATCCTTAGAAGAAAGACCAAGAGCAATTAGTCATTCAGGTTCATTCAGGGACAGCATGGAAGAAGGTAAGACTGAGTTACTATTTGGATCAGCAAATAGTCCCTGAAATAGGCCCCAAAACAGACCTCCAAAGTAAAATTGTAAAATGTTTTAAATCATGTCTTCTGTGACAGAATAACTTAAATAATTTTATGAAGCTTTTTTTAATTCTGTTGAGCTGGACTCACAGGACTTCTTTACCCTAAAGCATGGATGGTGTTTGTTTCACACAATAATATGCAATGCTGTGTATGTCATACATGTATAAATCCTTTAGCAGGAATTTTGGAGGAAAGGAAGCCATTCTTGGAAAATTATTTTATTCTTTTTTTACCTCTAACTTTGAAGTGTCTGAGCATACCTTGACTGCTGTTATTCCATGCTTTCTTAGTCCTACCTTTGTAATTTTTTTTTTCCAAATGCCAATGCTACTTGGCATCACCTTTCTCTTGTAGTCATTTCATTTCCCCCTTTCCCAAAAGGAAAAATATTTAGGAAGGTTTTTTTGCCTTGGTTTTGGTTTTTGTTCTTTTTTTAACCACAGAGCATCTGACAACTCCTAATTAAATGCGCTGTAATATTTTTTTCTGACTAACATTTCTGGTTAATCTGACTATTTGCAGAATTCTCATAAGTGCAAAGTTCTCACAAAAACAAACTAAACAAAAACAAAAACAAAAACAAAAACAAAAAACCACCAAAAAAAACAAAACCCCAAAACACCCCACTAAAATTTAAGAGAGATTCATTCTATGACATCATATCATTAATCCAATCTTGCTTACTGCTAAATGATGACAATATAAATGGTCTTTATAACAAACAAGTAAAATAGTTTTCCCCTAGCTCCAAAGCTCATAGTTATGAAATAAAAGGGAGGGGGGAGCAGGGGGGAAATAACGGACAAGTAATACTTTAATTTTTCAATTCCTTCTTCTGTATTTTAGATGATATGTCAGGCAAACATCTGGTTATGTAATACTAGCAGTAGGGTGCAGGACAGATCAAGCTGTGAGTTGTCAGCACAGAGAGGATGGCTGATTGCACAGAAGCATATCACATAATTCAAGGACAGAGGTGACTACAGACCCTTTGCTGAGGAACAGGAGAATTATCAAAGGAAACACTGGAAGAGTAATAGAGAAAACAAGGCAAATAATGTATGCATAGAAAAAGAGGTGGTAAATCTAGAATTTCAGTAATGGTTCACCAGTGGCTTTGATGAAAGCTTTTTCACTGGTTACATTTCATATCCAGCTGGAGTAGATAAACATTATCAACCTGTGTAAATGAAAGACAACACAGCAATAATAAACAGTTTTCAGCAGTTTATGGTCATTAGAGATTAACACGAAATTATGCTGTTGGAAGGTCAAATGTGTTTTATTTAAGATAGGAGCTCTGAGGAAGGTTATAGTGGAAAAAAGTGAGGTAATGAGTAGCGCCACAATGTATGAGAGCAGAATGAGAGTCTAACTGAGAGATTTAAAGCAGAGGCTGAAAAACAGAGACAGATTGAAAGCAATAGGATTTCAACATTCAGAGTGCCACATCTTTGTAAATATTTGCCCAGCTACAAAACTAGATTTAAAGTATATTTGTCTAATCCAAGTATTCTTGTATTGACAATTTGGAATACAGAAATCAGTATTAATGCAAAACAATTTATTTACCAAATCCTGTCCAATTATAATTTATTATAATAATTATAATAATTATTTATATTTATTTTGAAACAAAAATTAAAAGAAGTAATGAAATAAATGATCTTTAAAATTCTCTGTTGTTGTGTCCTTCCTCAGTAGAGTAATCAGAAGCAGAAGGCCAATTTTGTCTTGGTTTAGTGTTCACTTGCTACTTTCAGAGAGGCCAGAAACCCCATTTTTTGAGTTAGGTCCTGCAGCATTCACTCAGTGCTCTTGGGGCTGACTCTCCTGATGATTAGTGGAAATATGGCACTACTTCTGATAGTACCCCCTTCACACAGAATACAAATGCCAGCATGCATGGGATGTATGGGTCTGCATTGTGCTGAGGGGAGAAACCAGCTGAGCAAAGCCTGGGAGCTCTCCCCAGGGAATGTGAACTGGTTTGCAAAACATAATCTCTTATTAAAATCAGTTTGCTCAGCTTTAGACAGGTGTATAAACAGCTCAATTTCTGGTTTCTCTGAAGAGTGTATTTATCAAGTGAATTGTTGTCAAAACAACAAAAGTGATGTTTGGTTTGCTAGTAATAATACTGAATCTCACTGGCTCGCTCTCCTACCTCATAAATAGCAAAGTGCTTTTTCTATATAGAACAATCTTTTTAAGTGCAGAAAAAATATCAATAGCTTTTCTATACTGACAACTCATAATTGCTGTTAGTGGAAGATTGGTTCTCATTTTAAAAAGGTGCTTAGTTATTATGCTACATGGGGGAAGTTTTATGCTTTCATCAATATTTCATGTCCTTTTCTTTTTTTTAAAGTACATGGGTCCTCATTATCACTTGTCTCCAGCACATCCTCCCTCTACTCTACAGTAAGTATTGACATTTTAGAAAAAAGTTCTTCCTGACTCTGTTCTTGTTCATTGTTCTTGAAACTTCCAATGCTTTGAGATTTAGAAGGATTAAAATTGTACTGCAATAAAGCAGGAACATTTATTTTCAACTTTGGTGTTTCTGTCATTAGAATACATTGTTTTCATCTTTTTATGCAATTTGCTTAGAACTGCTTAAAATCACCTAGTATATATTTTGAAAGCTAAAAATAAGGGGGTTTTTATTATAAGGACCTCCCCTCTCTTTAAGGGGGGTCCTTCTGCTATTGTAGCTGTTAATTTTGAGTGATTTTTCTTATTTTCAGGTACTTTTCTAATTGCACAATTTACAAAATGTTTTTGTTGTCACTGTTAGAGGTACACTTCTTGGAAAATAGAAAATTTCTTCAGAGTAAGGGAGATGCAATTTGCAGTTTAAATGTCTACTGATCTTTGTTACAAATAACAGTATTTAGATGTTACTACCAAAGAGTAGAGTGTCTTTAAAATATTGTTAATCTTGGTTAATTAGATTAATTAGATGAGTAATAATTGTATTCTTGCTCATGCAGAAGTTCTGGGTTTGATTTTTTTCTCTCTATTTTATTGTTTTGATATCTTTTTTGAGATCTTCATAATTTGTTGCTTTGGTTGTTCTACTAACAAGAAATCATTCATATAGGAGGAGTTAAACATGTTTGGACACTCCCTTGCTGGTTCACAAGAGTTGCTTTGCAACCTATTGCTAACTGCAGTTACCTGCTGTAGAAGCCCTTTTTCATGGGAGAGCAACGCATCTGTTTTCATACCATGCACTCATGAATAGTCTGTCTCCTCTCCACATTTTCAGGTGTTGAATAGTGTCAGTTGACAACCCGGGAAGGACATGGACTCCTCTACCCAGAGCCAACACCATTTCTTGCCTGGGAATACCAAGCCCATGCAGTCTTATGCATTTGTAACACCTGTACAGCTCCTAGCCCTATCTCCATGCTAAACCCATGCTAGCTTTGAAAGTAGATTTGATCCATGCACAACATCTACCACAATATTACCTCTCCTAGGTCTGTTTAATCATAAAATATTCTATACAGGGGCATGTCTAAAACGTGAGGTACACATACATTACTTCTGCCCAGGCCTTAGCAACAAGTTGCAAGCAATTCTAGTCCAGCCCCAGGTTCTTTTAGGGATTTAGAATGTACATACAAACTTGCTGCACCTAAGGTATGACTAACGTTCAAAGCAAAATGTCTCACTTATGTTTTGGTAGTGAAAAAATCTTTACTACTATTTCCCTGTTATAAGACACTATTACAATTTACATGGGCAGATGTCCAAAATTATAATTTGATATCAAATTTTAGAAGAATGTTACAAAATTGATAGATGGTAAAAAACAAATTACAGGTTGACACAGGGTGCATTCAGTATCCGATTAGTCAGTAATTCTGAAATATCTCTGCTCTTGATGTTGTTTATTATAGCAAGGGTTTACTAATACTTTCTATTTATATAACCTGCTATCATTCAAGATTATCAAGTATCTTGGAAATATTACCAAAACTCCATGATATTACAGAATAGTATTTTTCCTGAAAAATAAACTTTAAACCATTTACCCAAGTTCATGTTGTAAGCCAGTGGAATATCCTGAAATGTCTAACTGTGAATTCACATTGCAGCTAAGCCCCACTCTTTAAGTTATGGATTGCGTAGACAAGATAATGGAAGTTTTAGAAAAATCTGTAAAGGGCAAGAAAGGAATTAGTATGACAAAATTACTAGAGTTGACCTTTAGGGATGATTTTTGATCAGAATTTCTTCTGCTTGATCTTTTTCATGCTGTGAAAAAAGTTTAAATTTTTCAGCAATTAATCAAAAGATATTGCATGAGTGAAGTATAGAAACATGAAAGGTTGTCAATCAGTATCACATCAGCTGCAAGTAAAGAATGTTCCATTGTTCTATGATACGGTGCAGTACCCCATTTCCTACAGAAAGGGTTAGCTTCGTGGGGTTATGGCACACTTAACTCACATGCAGCTATTAGTAGATTCAAGAAGTACAGGAGTTACTTAAGCAGGCCAAAATCACTAAGCAAGAATTCCAAAGCAGCTGCCTTTCCATACATATCTCAATCAAATATATTTACTAGATTTCTCAAGCACTACCTTAAGCCTTGGTGCTAGTGTTTTTCTGCAGCCTAGTCACTAGAAAGAGTCAGACAAAATACATGAAGATTAAGATCTTTATGTATTATTACCAAAGGATAGCTCAAAAGCTTGAATTTATTCTCTGAAGATTTGTTCCTTTGAGAATTAGAATATGAGATTCAGAAAAGACATTTCATTATTTGCTGCTATTGCAATTAATAAGTCCAATGAGTCAGAAGTTCTGTGTTCACTAGTATTTTCTGTGTGTACTTGGTTTCTTCTTAATTTACATTTACATTTTCAGGACTTACTTGGATAGGCTGGAAATCTAGTTTGTAGATATGCATGTAGAGAGGCAAACATTTGGTTTTATATAAAATTATACCATATAAGTGGACTGAAAGGATTGAAATACTGATTCCGTTTTGGCAGTGAATATATCAAGCTCTCCAAGAAGCTGCAAAAGATGTGTGATAGTGTAAATTATGATAGATTGTCCCCAATTTTAATTTCCTGCTGCTCAGTAAGTGAGACACTGGAATTTGCACACATTTAGTTAATTGCTATATTTCTTGCACTGGATCTCAGCATTAGCTACACTTAGAATCCCCAGACTTCATTAACTGAGCAAAGCCAAGCTCAAAGGATATGTGCAAGGACATTTCATTTGTATGTTAATATTGTAAGTCTTAAAAAAAAAAAAAAAATAAAATTACAAGAATGGGATGCATGGATATGAGGGAGAAGTAGAAGGAGAAAAAATATATTTCCTTTCAGAGCCTTTTGAATCAATGACCAAGTGCTGGTTGTAATGGCATCGGCATGAGCTCTTAACTAAAAATTGTTCAGATGTATTTGGTTGTCTGATTTTATTTTTTAAGTTGATTGTATACCTAGAATCCTCTTCTTCCTCTTTCATTTACTTCTTCCACTGCCCACTAAAGTTAACTTGCAGGAGCCACCTCTCTGAATTCTGGGAGAGAGGCAATGCTTCCTTGTACAGTGACAGAGTCATAGAATCATAGAATGGTTAGGTTTGGAAGGGACCTTAAAGATCACCTAGTTCCACCTCTCCTGCCATGGCAGGGACACATTCCATGAGACCAGGCCTCATCAAACCAGGATTGTTACCAGAATCATCTGGTAACAACACGTAACACTTCCTTTATCAGTGGGGGCCAGTGGTCTAAGGACAAGGGACCACATCCCCACATGTCAGTTTCAATAAAAGGTCACCAACCCTAAATTTTTATTTTTTTGTTTTTCTTGGCACAGTAGAATTCATAAAGGGACATGGCCTTTCTTGATATTTTGATGGCTTTTCATGCAATATATTTTTGAAGCAACAATAATGAGAACAGATTTTCAATTATTTCTGTAGGCAGATCTTTTTATTAATACAGATCAGAAAGCTGGTATCAGTATGTGTATCTCATCACTGCTGGTAAATAAAACAATTATTCTAAATCATTCCCATGTAGCGATGTACCAGGATTACAGTAGTTTCAGTCAAGAGCAGTTCTAAGTGTTATGCAGGGAAGTATCATAGCATCTCAGTCTTTTTAGTGACTGTTAATAGATAAAAACTTATGGAAAAAGATATTTTCTGAAAGTCTTCTCCCCCTACACCAGGTAAAATAATAAAACGTTTCTATAATCAATTATTAAAATTCTAACAGTACAGAAGTTGTGCTTAATAGAGGCTTTAAAAGCAGCTACATTAATTTGTAATAACACAGATACTGTCTGATGTCTAGGAATTTTCTGAGGAACTCTTATCTTGGGCTTTCTTAGCCTTTCTAGTATTATTTATACCTAATACTTCTAACCGCATTTTCCTTTTACTGCTTACTTCCCTTCCAGACAATATTAGACTGCTTTTCTGAAGTTGGGCCACCTCACATCATGGGGTGGATTGATTTCCAGTACATTAACTGATTCTTATTTTCTGTTACAAAAGAGTTCCTCTCTCATGACACACCGTTCCTTTCCTTTAGAATCCCACTGAAGCTATATTTTTCTCTCCATTAAACGCCTCCTAAATTAGACTACTCCCATGCTTGCAAATTTATTGACTTTCAAAGGTTTGCTTTGAAACTATTTAGTTTTTTAGTTTGTTGAAAAACACTACTGAGTAAATATTGTATGACACAATATGTAACAATATGGAAAATATCTGAAATTATTAAATGTTAGTATCAAGCTTAAGCTGAAACTGTAACATGCCTTGATAGCCTTTAATATTTTTGTCAGTACTCTGTATGGAAGAAATTACTTTAAAGTGCATGTACCACTGTCCCTTCACCTTCTCCCATATATATGTTTTACTGGTATGCTGACAAATTCTCTTAGCAGGGATTAGTCTATTAGGAATATTTTTCAGTATACTGTAAAGCAAATACAGTTCCAGGAGCCATAATAATATTACAGTGTAAAAGTTTGCTGGCAACAGACTAAGGTCTGTGCAGCGACAGCATAGCAAATTTTCTTTTGTATCTTAGAAATGTAGCTGCAGTTTCTGCAGTTCTGTCCCTGTTCTCCCTTTATCCCTACTGTTTCATGTTGTCAGTATGCTGGCAAACCCTTTGGCGTTTCAGCTGGAGCCTTGCCAAGTAAGTTGAAAAGAATTCCATTTATTGTTTTTACTGCATACCTTCCTTAAATGTAATGGATCCATGAAACTATTCGTTTCACTTCAGCGTAGCTGGCTTTTATTTTCTGCTACCACAATTATGTTGCATATTGTTTCTAAGCCATTTCTTCTTTGTTTTCTTCCAGGCAGAAGAAAAGGCACATTCAGAGGTAAAAACTTCCTTTGTTTCTATAGTTGTGTATTGTATTATATTATTTGAAAGTTTATTGTTTATCTGCTATGGCTAAACTGCTGAGTTGCTGGGGAAAAGGCACCCTGTGTCTTTGAACCACTTTTAGGGAAGTATTGGTAAAGAGCTGATGCAGCTTCTGGTGCACTACAAGCTGTTTTCTTAGCATCGTGCTGAAGAATGCCTCCTGGCTGAGGTTCTGGAAAGGTGAAAAGGATTGATGAGAATCGGGTTTCTGAGTGGAGGAGCTGTGTTACATCTGTTTTTAGACTTAACATCACTGCACTGGATCTAAAGGACTGCAATTCTATGTAATGTGTTGCCTTTCAGGAGAGAAATACTTCAAATCTTCACTTTGAACTTCTCTCTTTTACATTTTGCATTATATTAAATTTCTGAAACTGACCACTTTGATGGATTTCAGAGCAATGCAGATTGATTTCAGTTATAAATCAAATCTGACGTGGAAAACAGCTTCTTTCCTTTCACAGTGTATAAGAATGGGTGACAAGCCCAGGTCAGCAGCTGGATACAATTACAGCCTTTCTCAAAATGAAGTCTAGGTTGTATTAAAAGGGCACCGAGGAGTAGCAGCAATAAAATGCAGCACCAAGGGGTGCACTTCCATTTCAGAGAACTGCATGCCTTTCAACTCCTGCATTTATGCTGCTCCTATTTTTATTATACTAATCAGGGAAAAAGTTGACTAAAAGATATTTTGAGGAAGTTGAACAAGTAAACATGTTATTATTTACTTGGTGCAGTATATTTCCATATATTTTCTACCTGAATTTTCTAAGCTCCTTTCTGTGAAAGTTAAAGCAATAGCACTAAAGAAGCACACCATAGCTCAGTAGCGTAAATGTAAATTCCTCATTTCATTTCCCTTCATATAGGGCTGTATATAGAGGCAAAACATTTTTCCTGTGTATTTCTACATGATGTTTTCTCAGTATCTAGGTCCACTCTGTGATGCTTTTGCAGGAGATGTTGAACAGCACTTCACGAGAGCTCCCTTTG